ATATATATATAATTGTCAATTATTTTTTTATTTACATCATTCCCATAACTGTGAATGGGATGGGATCACACAGTTTTTGGGGGGTGAAGCCCCCCCATGCACTGGTGACATCAGGGGTGGTGGGACAAGGGTGAGGGGCTCCGTGGGGACACGGGGAGGGGTCCCAGCTGGATTCCCCCCACACACTGGGAAGGGTCTCCCAGAATGACCAGGCTGCAGGTTTGGACCTTCCAAATGGCTTTTTTATCCCAAAAAAATGCCGTGAGGTCTGACATTCCTGGTCACTGCCTGCACCCTCTGGAGCCAGGCTGGGAGAGCTGGGGGGGTTCCCCTGGAGAAGAGAAGGCTCCAGGGAGAGCTGAGAGCCCCTGGCAGGGCCTGAAGGGGCTCCAGGAGAGCTGGAGAGGGACTGGGGACAAGGGATGGAGGGACAGCACACAGGGAATGGCTGCAAACTGGAAAAGGGGAAATTTAAATGGGATATTGGGCAGGAATTGTTGGCTGTGAGGGTGGGAAGGCCCTGGAATGAGTTTCCCAGAGAAGCTGTGGCTGCCCCTGGATCCCTGGGAGTGTCCAAGGCCAGGATGGAGCAACCTGGGCTGGTGGGAGGTGTCCCTGCCCATGGCAGGGGTGGCTCTGGGTGGGGTTTAAGGCTCTTTCCTCCCCAGTCCAGCCTGGAATTGTGGGATCTGCAGCTCTGCAGGTCGTGCTCCCCCTCCCTCCTCACCCGGTGCCGTGTCTCGCACTCCGCGTCTCCCGGGGCTTCCCGAGCGCCTCCTCTGCCCGGCTCCCTCCTCCCTGCCCTTGGAGAGTCCCCTTCCCGCTGCTCCCGCATCCCGGCCGTGTCCCGCTCTCCGGGCACATCCAGGGCCTCCTGCTCTCCCTGTCCGTGTCCAACCTGGCCCTACCCGGAATGTCACCCGCGGTCCCGGGTCCCAGAGCCCCAGGGTGGGGACTCGGAGCCATCAGCAGCCCTGGGCGATTCCCGGGATTTCTCCCCCTCTCCCTGTGCCCTCCCGGCCGGATGTCGCGGCTGTCCCCAGAACGGCACGTCTGGGAATTAGACTTCCTAGGGAAGGGATGTCCTCGCTCTCCCTCTCCCCTTCCAGCCACGGTCTGGCGGGAAACGAGATATTCCAGAGGGCTGCATCACCCCCTCCATGGATGCTGGAGTGGTGCGAGGAATTCCACCGGGAATGTCCCAGCGTGGTGCTCCCCGGCCCCTCCAGGCTGAGCCGGGAAGGGCGTCGGTGCTGCGGCACCAGCCCAAGGAAAGCGAGGAAGCTGCTTTTTGTAGGGAAGGAAAAGCTCATCGGGAGCAATTTGGCAAAGCCGCGGTGGCCGAGGGGGCTGTGAGGGAGAGCGGAGTGAGGGAGGAGGAGGAGCCGGAGCCGAGGGGGGACGAGGAGGGAGGCTGAGGCTGGAGGGGAATTACTCATGGAGCTGTCAAGGGCTGCGTCTGGCTGAGCTCATCCGCCTCCTCCGAGAGGGACTCGGGGCTGAGCATAATGGAGGGTGAAAAGGACAGGGAGCCACTAATTAGGGACAAGTTGCAGATGAACTTCAGCCGCCGAGGCAAACGCGGCCCCCGCTCCTCTGCCGTGTCACCGGGGCGGGCGGGGAAGGGCTCCTGTCACCCGGGCCAACCCCGAGGGGACAGGGTTAGTGAGGAGGGCTGGGGTGGGGAAGGGCTCCTGTCACCGGGACAGGGTTAGTGCGGAGAGCTGGGGTGGGGAAGGGCTCGTGTCACCGGGCCAGCCCCGAGGGGACAGGGTTAGTGCGGAGGGCTCGGCTGGGTCGGGCTCTGCGGGGTGTTGGGTGCGGGGGAGAGCCACAGAGGGGAGTCCGGGGTGGGAGAACCTCGTGGGAGAGGATGGGACGCAGAGGGAGGGCGGGGAGGGCCCCAGAACGTGTTTCTGTCTGTGCCTGCAACTGGAGGTTCATCACCACCAGTGGCATCAGCCAGAGCTGGTGACGGCACTGGGAGTACAGGATATTCCAGCTGGGAAGGGGCTCGGTGCCGGGACAGGTTCCCAACAGCAGCACTGGGAAGGAGGAACCCAGTGGATCCTCTTCATATAGGGAGCGTATTTCCACCCTTCCACACTGGAACCCATGTCAGAATCATCAGAGTCATGGAATGGTTTGGGTGGGAAAGGACCTTAAATCCCACCCAGTGCCACCCCCTGCCATGGGCAGGGACACCTTCCACTGGCCCAGGTTGCTCCAACCTGGCCTTGGACACTTCCAGGGATCCAGGGGCAGCCGCAGCTTCTCTGGGAAACCTGTGCCAGGGCCTCTCCACCCTCCCAGCCAGGAATTCCTTCCCAATATCCCATCTATCCCTTCCCTCTGGCAGTGGGAAGCCATTCCCCCTTCCACTGTCACTCCACACTCCTGCCTTGAGGGGTTTCCAGCCCACACCTGCTGACCCCACCTGATGTCCCCAAGTCCTTGCATTCCCTGAAACCCTGGGGCTGTTCCCTTTCCTGCCCCAGCTGCGATGCTGCACAGTGGGATCAGCTGCTCCTGCCTCTTCCTGAGGGATTTGGTCCTTCCTTCTGGATGCTCCTGAGGCTCCTGCTCTGATGTGTCAGGGCTGTGGCTCTGCTCGGGTGGTTTCTTCCAACAGCAGTGAGAGAGGGAACTGATCCCCTGGTGTCAGGCTGGATATTGGGGAGAAATATTGGGAAAGATATGGGGAAGGAATTCCTGGCCGTGAGGGTGGGGAGGCCCTGGCCCAGGTTGCCCAGAGAAGCTGTGGCTGCCCCTGGATGTGCCCAAGTCCAGGTTGGATGGGGTTTGGAGCAGCCTGGGCTGGTGGGAGGTGTCCCTGGGCAGGGACTGTGGCAGGGGGGCTCTGGAGCATCCCCTGGTTTGGGGTTCAGGGCTGGAAGTGCCCCCCAGCCCCGAGGGTGGGATCCAGCACATCCCATCCTCTCTGATCTCCCCGGCACAGGGGTGGGGCAGCTGCACCCAGGAGATGCCAGACCTGATCCATGGGCTCTTCCTGCCCATCCTCGAGGACATAATCCCACTGATGGGGATTTTTTTGAGCTCCTGCTCTTCCGGAGTTGCTGCCTGGGGGATGTTTGGAGCAGGGAGTGCCAGGGCTGTGTGTTCCTGGTCAGATTTGTGCTGGGCCTTCATTAAGGTGTCACTGCTGAGCTGGTTTGAGGGGCTCTGTGGGCCCTGTTTGTCCCCACCCACTGCGTGTTTGGGATCTGCACTGCCCAGGATTCGGCAGCTCCAGGAGGTCCCCACGGGAGGAGCTGGTGGGATGGTGATTCTGGCCATGCCCAGGGACAAGGGACTGTGCCCAAAACCACCCTAACTGCCAGCATGGAGTGACGTGGGGACGGTGGGGTGGGGACATCAGCCCTGGGGCAGGGAGGGACATTCCTGTGCGGGTGTGTGTGGGCAGGGGATGCCCTTGGGAGCTTCCACGTGGGACGAGGGGGGCAGGGCGTGGGCCGGCAGCACCGGTGGTCCCAGGGGGTGCTGGCCCCGCGGTCCTGGTGTCCCCCATTGCCCGGGAGCTCCTCCCCAGCCTCCAGCCGCCCGGGCCGGCGGCAGCTCCTCTGTTGTGTCCCTGGGAAGGGGCCGGGGCGCCGGGACCTCCTCCACCCCCACGCTCCATTAGCTCTGCACTGTGGCTCTATTGTGCTGGGGACGCGTGAGGGCCGTGCCACCGAGGGACTGTCCTGCCCCTGCGAGCTTCCGATGACTCCGAGGGGTCCGAGACCTGCTGGCCCCGGAGCAGGGGGGACGCGGCCCGGCCTTGTCCTACCCCGGGGTCCCGCCAGAGTCCGGCCCGGCCCCGCTCGTGCCGCCCCCCGCCCACCGCGCTCTAATCCGAGTGTCTTCCCATCCGTCTCCTTCCCTCACCTCCGTCTCCGTCTGTCCGTCTGTCCCTCACGCCTCTCTCTGTCTCTCTCTCTGCCTCTCCTACCCCTCTGCTCTGCCAGGGAGGGAGGGAAGGGGGGCTGCCCTCCCAGCTCAGGGGTGAGGGGGCAGCCGCAGAGGGGGTCGCGGGCTGGGGACCGGGTCCCACCCGAGGGGCAGTTTTGGGGCAGGGGGATCCCGCGGGGCTTCAGCCTGGGCTCGTTCCTGACCGTGCCCAGAGGCAGGTTGGGGTGGGGGTGTCCCCAGCTGGGTCCGTGCCCAGAGATCCAGGGCCACCAGGAGCCACCCTGTCCCCTCACACGGCACGGCCGGGGACCCTCCCCCTACCCCGGCGAGGAAAAGGTTTGCAGGTGGGGACATAAATTCGGGTCTGATGAGCATCTGCGAGGAGAATCCAGCACGTCCCGTAGCTCAGCATTCCCGGGAGAACCAGCACAGGGCAGAGCCGGGCGCGGCGGGGGGGGCTCAGCCCCGGGCTCCTGTCCCCAGGGTCCCATCTCTGGGGTCCCACCCATGGGGTCCCATCCCCAGGCTCCTGTCCCTGGGGTCCCATCCCCAGGGTCCCATCTCTGGGGTCCCATCCATGGGCTCCTGTCCCCAGGGTCCCATCTCTGGGGTCCCATCCATGGGGTCCCATCCCCAGGTTCCCGTCCCTGGGGTCCCATCCTCGGGTTCCCAACCCTGGGCTCCTGTCCCGAGTCCCGTCCCTGGGGTCCCATCCCTGGGGTCCCATCCCCAGGCTTCCATTCCCAAGAGTTCAGCTCCTGGGCTCTCACCCCCAGGCACCCTTCGCTGGGCTCCCATTCCCAGGGTCCCAGCCCCAGGCTCCTGTCCCGCTCCCTCCCGGCGCTGCAGGAATTTCGCTTTCCCCGGGAGCGGCAGGCGGGGGCGGCTCTGCGCAGTTCCCCCGGCGGAGGATGGATCTCGCTTGGGCGTTTATTTTAATACGTCTCTCTCTCTTTCTCGTATCTCTCACTCTCTCCTGGTTCTCGCCTCTCTCTCCCCGGCCCCCCCGCGCCCTCTTTCCGTCCGTGCCTTTCTGGCTCCCCCCCCCCCCCCCCCCCCCCCCCCGTTCCCCCCCCCCCCCCCCCAAGGTCAAGGTCTGGTTCCAGAACCGCCGCACGAAGCAGAAGAAGGACCAGAGCAGGGACTCTGAGAAACGCTCCTCCACCACCTCCGAGTCCTTCGCCACCTGCAACATCCTCCGGCTGCTGGAGCAGGGCCGGCTGCTGTCGGTGCCGGCCCCCCCCAGCCTCCTGTCGCCCGCCTCCAACCCCCTCGCCAGCCCCGCGGGCAACGGCTCCGGCCTGGCCACGCCGGGCCCCGCGTCCCCCGGGCTGGGCGGCGGGAGCAGCCCCCCGGCACCGGCAGCCTTCAGCCTGCAGGTCCCGTCTCTCGCCTCCTCGTCCTCCTCCTCGTCCTCCTCGCCGCGGCTGCCGGGGGGGCCGCTGTGCTTCGGGGGGCCGCTGCTGGGCAGCCTGCACGACCTGCCGGGCGCGTACGGACTGGGCACCTCCGCCTTCGAGCCTTACACGCGGCTGGAGAGGAAAGACAATTCTATACCCAGCAAGAAGCCGAGCCCTTAAATCAAAACGAGTGTCAAAAGGTGTCGTGTCCCCCCCATCCTCCGCCGTCCCCCGCGCCCGGGCCTCGTTCGGCTCGTGGGATGCGGGAGCTGGTTCGTCCCGGTGGGAATGTGCACGCGCGGGGGGGGGCCGCCCACGCCCGGCCCCCGCCCCAGGCACAGCGCCGGAGCCGTGGATGTCACACACGGGGGGTCCCCGGGGGTCCCGTGTCGCCGGTGCTGCCCCGTCCCTCACTGACGCCGCTGGACCTGCGGTCGCACCTCCCTCCAGGTACCGCCCGCGGTCTGTGCCCGGAGAGCGGCAGCTCGGGGGGGGTCGGGGGGTCGCCGCTGCCCCGTGGGCTTTCGGTGCCTCTCACGGGTGGGACCGCGGAGCTCTGATCCCCCTGGACTGTCCCCGCGGGGTCCGCGGTGTTGGGGTCACCCCGGGGGGCAGGAGGGTGCCCCAAAAGGGAGAGCGCAGGGTGGCGCCGGGCTCTGTCCCCGCCCGGCCGGGGTGTCCCTGGACGAGGGTCGTGCCTCAGTTTCTCCACCTGCAAAGGGCTGCGTGTCCTGCCCGAGGTGTCCTCGCAGCATCCCGGTGGCCGTGGGCTCCAGGCGCTGCTCCCGTGGGATACCGGTACTCCCAGGGCACAGCTGAGGGAGGTCCGCCGGGTCCGGGGGGGTGGGTGATGTCCCCAACCCCCCCAGGGGTCCCTGTGATCGGACCAAGACGCTGCCCCTACTCGTGGGACATCCCCAGGCTCCTCCTCTGCTCGTGCAGAGCCAAAGCACCGCCCTGCACCCGCTTCGGTGCCGTCCCAGCCCCGCAAATCCCTCAGGGGCCCCCTCCGACCTCCCCGAGGGGGCTGTGGGGAGCCGGGGACCGGCCACCGTCCTGAACCCCCACCAGGAGACCCCCCGAGGGGGACGTGGCAGAGCTGTGGACAGTTGTGACACTGGGATCTGCCCCTCTGGGGTCCCGGGGGGTCTTTGCCACCGCCGGGAGCCTGAAGCACCCCCAGACCCACCGCGGGGTGCTGAGCACTGCGGGGAGCCCCACCCCGAGCACTGGGCTCGCAGCACCCCCCACACACCTCGGTCCCACCCCCGGCAGCCCCGGGGTCCGTCCCAGAGAGGTGCTGAGCCCCCCGGGCGGCCTCTTCCAGCCCGAGCACCTGATCCCGGAGGCTTCCCGCGGGGCAGGATCCGGCCTCGGGCACGATGTGGCTCCGTGGGGGCGAGAACCAGAGGGGCACTGCGTGAGGTGGCCTTTGGGGACAGAGGCAGCGTGGCCCCCCCGGGCCCTGCTGGGGGAGGGCTGCGCTGGGCAGGTCCGTGGTGTCAGGATGCGCTGCGGGGTCATCGCTGTGACAGGATCGGGGGGACGCCCTGAGCCCCCTCCCCAAGCCCAGGAGCTGCCATGGGGGCTCACACCCCCCCACACACACCCCAAACCCGGGGGCCGCAGCCCCCTCCCGCCGCCGTTTAATAATTAACAACGATAATTAACCCTGAGCGTCCCCCCCCGGGCTGCTGCTCCGCCGGGACCGCTCCCTGACGGGGACCCAGCTCCCAGCCCGCGCGTTCCCAGGGGTTTGCAGGGAAATATTTAAAATAAATGATTTTATGAGAAGGTTTCGGTGATTTTTTTATTTTTTTCCTCAAAACGGAGCCTTTCTACGAAATATTATTTATTGTTCCCTCCCTTTGGAGCTCTTAGGGGGAGCTCGGGGGGGGTCGGTACCCCCGGCGCAGGTGGGGAAACTGAGGCAGGAGCAGGGACAGGGTTTGGTTGGGGGTCCCGAGCCCCCCCCGGCCCCCCCGGCTCAGAGCACGGCTCTCCACCAACATCTCCGTTCTTCTCCCTGGCATTCGCCGGGTGCTCCCGGGGTGCTCCAACCCCGACACCCCAACGCCGTGTGTGAGGTTTGGGGTTTGCCGGGACCCTTCGCCCTCCCCCTCGTCACTTAATTTATATTTATCCCGCCGGTCCCGCTCCCGGCGGGCGGGGGCTGCGGGCGGCGGGGCAGCCGTGATCCCCCCGGGCGTGGAATCCCGCCCTCAAACCCCCTTCGGGACTCGCTTTGCTTTGGTTTTCCCTCTTCCCAGCCGAACCGCAGGGATTTTCCAAGCTCTCCATCCCCGCTTCCTCCCGCTCTGGGCTCGCCGGGAGGAACCCGGGGTTTGCTGGAGAAGGGAACCCCCCTCAACCTTCTTGGCTGGAGGAGGTTTGGGGGCGTTTCAGAGGAAGCAAAGCCCAGTTCGGTTTTGGGAGGGTCCCCGATGTGTTTTCCCGGCCCGGAGCATCCTCGTGGCTCTCCTGCATCCTCCTCCCGCTGCTCCACATCCCGAGGGATCCGCGGGAAGCACAGCGGGGAGGCCGCGGGCCGCTCCTTCCTCCCATTGAAACCCAAATGCTGCTTTCACAGAGGTCCCAGATCGGATCCAAAGCTGCTGCTTCTCCAAAGTTCCTTCTCCAAAGCGAAGCTGTCCCGGGGGCCGTGGGGGGCCGTGGGGACACCCGTTCCCCCCAGTCCATCCCAATCCAGCGGCTCCTCCAGTCTGAGGGGATCGGGGGAAGAGTTAAAAAAACCCAGCAACTACTGGATGTAAAACTTTAAGGAATAATGTGGTTTCTTATGGTTTCTAATGGTTAATAAAAGTCATGTCCTGCCTCCTGCCTCCTCCTCGTCCTCCATCGCCTTTGGGATCCAGGGTTGGGAATCCCTCATCCCCTGCTCCGGGTGCCACCAAACCTTGTGGGTGTCCCCAGCCCCGTGGGTGTCCCCAGACTCGTGGGTGTCCCCAGACTCGTGGTTGTCCCCAGCCCCGTGGGTGTCCCCAGTCTTGTGGGTGTCCCCAGCCCCGTGGGGGTCCCCAGCCCCGTGGGGGTCCCCAGCCCCGTGGGTGCCATCCCAGGGTGGCATTTCGAAGCCCAGCGTGTCCTGCTCTCCTCAGAGCCCCCCGAGAGTGCATTCCCCCCCTCCAGGGACACTTCCACTACCCGCTTCCCCCAGAATGAATCCCCCCAACACGGGGATACCTCACAACCCCCCCAC